GCCCAAGCGGCCGCCTGAAGCCATGACAGCACGGACCCGACGCCGCTGCGCCTTTCCCTTCTGGCTGACGTCCTGCGCCGTTCCCTTCGGGAAGCACCTGCTGGCTGCTCTGGGCACGTGTGAATGTGTCCCCGCTCTCACTCTCTCTGGCCGTTTAAGTAAAACGAGTCACTCGAACACAAACCCTGCGCAGCCCCGACGTGGATCTGATCACCCCGGCGGCCACTAAACCCCAAAACCCCTCGGTGGGCCAGTCCAGCTCACACATGACAGGAACCACCACGGTGGTCAGAGGCAGCTCTGAGCTTCGGAAGGAACGCGGTTTCTGGAGCCCAGCAGCCCGGGGCCACGCTGCTGGCTGTGTGATCGGGAGGTGCCCCTGTCTCTCCGGGGCTGCCTCAGTCGCCTCGCCAGTCAGGTGAGGGTAACCAGAGACAGCATGTGTGTGTGCGCGCGACACGCTCAGCCACAGGGCAGGCGTTATTCTGAACGCAAAGACGGCTTTTCAAGGTTCACTTTGCCCTTTGCATCTAATATGCATTATTGTTTTAGGCAAGAGGCTGTTGGACATAGAAAATATAGGAGGAAAAGAGAGGCATTAATATCACGAAAGAAAAACAACAAACCAGAAGGTCCATTGCTGGCCCGACCTTCTTGGCATGTCCTTACTCCGAAACTGGAGGCCGGGACCGGGGCCCGGGGGCCGTGTCCCAGCTCCTAGCCTGGGAGGCTTCTCTGCTTTAGTGAAATTGCCCCTCTATTCCCCAGCGGGTCTGGGGCCACACCTACCTCGGACCTGAAGGGGGAGGGGCTGTGGCCTGCTGACGGACATGTTTCACATTATAGCCTGGGTGTTGGGTGACCACGAAACCTCATACCTTCAGAACCTGACACTCACCCACCGTAAAGCAAAACATTTTCCCATCGAGCAGTCAAGCTGGGGCAACGTCTCTCACAGCTGGTCTGGGTGTGAAAGGCACAGTGAGGGCTGCGCAGAGGGCCTGTTCGCCCAGGTGGGCCGGAGCTCCCCTGACGCCCCCCTGCAGTCTTGGTCCCTCTCCCAGGTCCCGGGAAGCTGTGGGCGGTGGTCAGAGCCTCCCTCTGGCGATAGAAGGGACCGAGAGGACGGCCTCCCGGTCAGAGAAAACCTAGATGGCCCAGCGGGGAAGTCAGCGCTGGGCTGGCCCCGGGGCTGCCGGGCCGGCACCGGGCCTCGCACACAGTGTGACATACTTGGGGCTTGGCAAACCCGAAGAAGCCGGCTGCCAAGGCCGGCTGCCTCCTTGCTCCCCTGGTGAATTTCAAGGGAAATTAAACCCACATGTTTCTGATTTGCTGACACTTACAGCTCATCTGAAGGTGGTTTTGCAAGAGTGGTTTGGACCCAAGGAGCCGAGAGGAACTTTAATGATGATTATTTTTCATTTTGAAACACAGACCTGTCCGTTTACATAATGAATGCCAGGCCCACGCAGCCGAGCCCAGCGCCGCCTGCCCCGGACCCCGCAGAGCCCGAGAGCTAAGGTCAACCCGAGAAGACCAGCGGCAACCTGACCATCCACCTGGACCCCGGCTGGGAAACGCCCCGCCAACCGCCCCTCTGACTGGGCCCCACCGAGGAGACCCAGAGCTGGAGTTCAGAGATGTGTGCGCAGGAGGGGTTGGGTTTTTGTTATTATTGCTATTGATTTTGGAGAGGAAGGGGGAGGGAGAGAGAGAGAAACATCACTGATGAGAGAGAATCATGGATCGGCTGCCTCCTGCACGCCCCACACTGGGGATCCAGCCCGCAACTGGGCCTGTGCCCTGACCGGGAATCAAACCGTGACCTCCTGGTTCATAGATCGATGCTCAACCACTGAGCCACACCAGCCAGGCTGGACTGAGTCTATTGGTTATTGATTTTATTATTTCCTCAGATCCTTGTCTAGGGGACGAAGCCCAAATTCAAGATGGCACCCAGGGCTGGCCCTGGAACCGGGTACAAGGGTGTGGGAGGTGGGCCTCGAGGGAGCGGCCCTCACAGAGGTGCTGCGCAGAAGGTTCTGGAATGTCTGCATGTCCCTGGACAGCAGCCAGGCCCGCCCGCCCGCCTGGGGCCACAGCAGCCAGCACACAGCAGGAAGGCTGGGCTTCCGCACCGTGTGGCCTCCCCACGGCCGGGCCCCTGGAAACCCTGGCCAGAGACCGGACCGCACGGCCCTCTTCCCACCAGGGATGGACTTTCCGTGCCTCCCATCCCCCCGAAGGTTCACCCAGGCGGCTTCTTGGGAAGGAAGCGGGGCCTTGTTCTCCGTTGCTCACTCCCCCTTCCCCAGCCCTGGGCCCTCAGCTGCTTGATTGGCATTTGCCTCCCAATGGTCTGGCCGCTGGAACCCGCCCCCCAGCTGGGGCCTGGACCACAGTCAGGGCGCTTCCCACCCCCGCACCCGGGATGAAGGGGGCGATGAGGCCGAGAAAGGGCTCCTGCTGGGGGTTTCCCTGGTGTGGAAGCCTGGGCACTCCCGGCTCCTCCCAGTGCGCCCCTGCACCCCCCGCACCCCCCTCCTATTATCCAGGTAGCCCTTGCTCTTCGGGTCCTCATCCTCCCCACGCGATACAGACTCAGAGATAACCCGTCAGGTGCAAGGCCAGCGCACTGCCTCCCTCCCCACCAAACTGCTGGCCCCTGGAGCCCAGGAACCACCTCTGACTCTCCCCTCCTTCTCCCGGAACTGAGAAGGGGGACCTGTCATGGACCCACCCCGACCCCCTGCGCCCGAAGGCTCCTTCCTGGGAACCTGGGACCGTGCAAACGGAGTAGTGAGTGTCCAGACGCTCTGGGACCAGCACCCACATGACGTCGTTGGCTGGAGCTGCCATAGCAAAACCCCACAGTGGACAAGGCTTCAAACCATAGAAACGTATCGCTCACGGTCCGGAGGCCGGAGGTCCGAGGTCAGGGTGTCCGTGGGCTGGTTCCTCCTGAGGCTGGGAGGAAGGGTCTGGAAGGATCTGGAAGGCTCTGCTCCCGGCTCCTCACCGAGCGATCTTCGGCCACTTGGCTCGTAGAAGCATCACCCCAGTCTCCTCCTCCACCACCGCGCAACGTTGTCCCCGTGTGCACGTCTGGGTCCGAATGTCCCCGGTTTTTAAGGACAACAGTCACACTGGCTGGGGGCCACCGTGATGACCCCAAATTAACTCCATCGTCTGCGAGGGCGCTCCTTCCAAACAAGGCCACGTCCCAGCTCCGGGGGCAGGACTAGCCTCTCTGTGGGGACACAGCTCAACCTAGACTGCCGTCCAGCGGTACGTTCTTAAAAGGCGACTTAAAATCGACATTGAAATACAGCAACCACGTAACTTACAGTCCGAATTGCGACTTTTTTTGACAGTGAAGGGAGGCACTGTTACTAACTCTGCAGGGACAGCGGGCCACAGGGACGGAGGGACGGCCCCCGCGGCAAGCTCACTGCCCGCCTCCCCACGCAGGGCAGTGGCACCCCCACCTCCGATCCCTCCTTTTTTGTGTTCCCGGCGAGTCGGTCTGTTTTATACGCAGTCCCAGCTGAGCCCAGGATTAGCTGTATCCCGGCTGCAGCGCATTCGCTGTTTCCAGCTCCCGATGGAGCCCGACCCCAGCAATTCCTGTGGCAGATGGAGTCAGGCCCCTTCACCTGTTCCCGGGCTCATCAGGCGCTAATCTTCCCGGGAGTTGGAGGCCCCTGGGTGTTACCTGAGCCTTAGCCTAGCAGGCCAGCGCTGGCCCCAGCCTAGAATCGGCCTTGAGAACCATGGTCACCTCCGCATGGCTGGGGTCCGACCCCCCTTGTCACCGGCTTCCTCCCAGCCTCTCCCTGGAAGGGCCCGTCCCCAGGGGAGCCTCCTGCTGAGGTCACTGTGGGACAGAGGCAGCTGCGGAGGCTGCCCGTCTAATTCAGAGTCTGTGTGATTATCAGGATAATGAGGTGGGGAACGAAGACACCGGGTTTTCCCCCCCTTCCTGATATGTTGGCCGCTTTCCTTCCTTTTGGAAGGTGACCCACCGTTAATGAGAACAAGTCACTGATTGTCCGGGTGCAAACAGAGGTAACACAGCAGCCATTACGCCCAAGCCCTCTTTGGTCTACGGAGCCATGTGTCAGGCCGAGTCGTCCATCACCTCGTTCCACCAGGGCTGCCGCCTTCCTCCACAGCCAGACGCTCGACACAGCGACAACCATTCGTGTGGCACAAGAGGAAACGTGAATAAATGCACAGCAGACCCCGGAGAGAGTACTGAGCCCCCCAGGAAGCTGGCTGCCAGCATCAGGTCTGAGGACATGTGAGCGGTCACACCCAGCAGGGCCTCCCCCGCTCACCCCCGCACGGGCCGCACGAGCATACGGGGGTTCCTTAAAGGGCCATGTCAGGTGGGTCCGGCTCACCTTCTACTCCATCTCCGTGGCCACCCTAAGGCCTCTGGTCAGCTGCCCACCTGGGGCCAGAGAAGGGGCAAGGCGACATGATGTGTGTCTGTCACCGGGCCGAGTCTAAGGGCGACCCAATGCGAGGGGTGAGGGGGGGCCGGAACAGCAGCTCCCCAACCCGTGGCCAGTTCTGCCTGCCGTCCACCCTCTCCCTCGTCACGGGGGAGTCCTGACCCCTCCCCGCCCATCCACCTCTCCCCGCTCACAACCCACCTTAACTCTGTCTCCGCTGACGCTGGTGTAACCAAAACCGAACCCGCAGTCCCCGATTCCCGTCTCTCCCACTGGGCTCAGGGCGCTCCACACCCTCCCGGGAGAGCGTGGCCTCAGAGAGAAGGACGGACACGGCCCAGCGTCCCATTTAAGGGAGAATCTGTGCCATCGTTTGTTCCTTATAAATGAAAACCAAATTGGACATGATGGTCTCTCCCTTTTCTTTCTGTGACGCTAAGCTTCTGAGGTCCCGGAGCATCTTGGGGGGACAGATTTTAAGGACAAAAGACCATATTTTTCAAGCCTCATATTTATATTATATATTTATTTTTATAAGATGAAGTGAAGATGTCACCGGGCAATTGACTGCATTGTGCACGTGAATCCCAGCGTCTGAACGGATGATCCATCCGGGATGCGGCTGAGGACACGAGGCTGAGAATAAAGGCCGCGGAGCTGCACGATCTGACACGCAGTGGGGCTTCAGCTCGGTTGCGGTCACGGAGGCCCACCCACGCGCATGCCCAGTGGAGCAGCCCCTGCTCCGCAGAGCAGCCCCCCCCCCACCGCGCATGCGTGCTGATACCCTCGGGGGGTGGGGAATGGTTCTGAGACAGAAGGAAATACGTTCTAAAAACCTTTGTGTCCTTACAATTTCCCACAAGATGCAGAAGCACAGACGCTGGGATGATAAGCCCTCCAGTACCTCACCCAGTTCAGTTACCGAGGTGAAGGTTAAACACGTTTGATCATTTTTAACATTTTAAACGGGCATCCCTTCTGCTCCTACAGACGGGGAAACTCGGGGAGCCTTCCGACCCCCTGGGGCTGGTGACCGGCTGCTCTCGGGTCACTGCCCTCGCTCAATCCTCCCTTTATGTGGGATGCGCTTCCCCTTCTCCCTGGCTCGCTCCCATCGCAGCTCAGGCAGGGGCTCGGCTAGGGTTTCAGCGGCGGTGACATCCCAGCCCAGCGTCCACGGATGGAATTTTCCATGAAGGAGCAGCCGGGAGCCAAGGAAACGCTGCTGGAGCTGAGGCTCCGCTCAGCTCTCCCCTGCGCTCCGCTCCGGGCAGCCAGCATCTGGGCGAAAGTGAAGGAAACCTGACAACAGAGCGATTGTTCTCTCCCCACAGCCGTCCCCCTATCTCACCTCCCCACAGCATCAGTCCCCCAATCTCACCCTCCCCACAGCATCAGTCCCCCAATCTCACCCTCCCCACAGCAGTCAGTCCCCCAATCTCACCCTCCCCACAGCCGTCCCCCAATCTCGCCCTCCCCACAGCCATCCCCCAATCTCGCCCTCCCCACAGCAGTCCCCCAATCTCGCCCTCCCCATAGCCGTCCTCAAATCTCACCCTCCCCACAGCCGTCCCCCAATCTCGCCCTCCCCACAGCCATCCCCCAATCTCACCCTCCCCACAGCAGTCCTCAAATCTCGCCCTCAAGGGGCCTGGGGCACAGGCAGACATGGCTCAGTTCTGCCTCAAGTGGATGCGCCCAGAGGTGAGGGGAAGGGACCTGCTGTGTCCCAGGGGGGACACCCCATCTGATGGCAGCTGCCATGACCTTTCTCAGAAACAAAGGGGCAGCGCAGGCAGCAACTCACCTTGTCTCTTGTCCACGAAGAACCTGAGCCAGCGACGGGATCAGCTTTCTTGCATTCCGTCCAACCGCTGACTATCACTCTAGACAAACAACCAGGGGCTGCCAGGCACCGGCAACCGCCCAAATCGCAAAATGATGGCCGGCCCGTCCAGGGTTCCCGTCCAAGGGATTGTTGGTTCCTCCACAAGAAACCCTCTGGGGTGAGAGGCAGGAGTCTGGGCGAGGCGCGTGGCTCTGTTTGCCACACTTGGAAAGGGAGAGAAATCTATTTTTGACACCAGCTATTGAGCTTTCAAACAGCATCGCCCGGGAAGCAAACCTCGTTTAGATGCCGACTCCAACTTTCACTCCATTTTAAAGCTTTTGGGGTCTCTTCCTCTTCTGCTCTCTCACACACACACACACGTGCACACACACACGTGCGCATACACACACTCACACACACGCATACACACGCACACATATGTGCGCGCGCACTCTATTTCCTTGGCCTATTTGAGCTAAAGTTTTGCAGTAGGTTGAGGAGCTAATGGAGTGATCAGTGGAGAGTCTGATGGCTTCGTTCAGATCCCAGCGCGTCTAAGAGCAGCCATGGCGTTCAGTACAATTAGTCATTAGAGACGGAGCCGAGCCCGGGGGTGGGGCAGGGCCGGGACGGAGTAGGAGGGCAGGAAAGGCGCACCGCGCTCTGGAGTGTGATGGGTTGTGTGAGCCGTGCCCGGCATCCCCGCCCGAAGGCAGAGGTCAGACATGCGTTCACCGCGGGCTCCTGAAAACGAACAAAACCGTAAGGCCACGGACAGCTCATCACCACGTTCGCAGGCGCCCACGAGAACGACTTCCCCACGTGGGGGCCCCGGGCCTGGAGGGAAAGCCAAGAACATTCCTGTTTCTTAGAGAGAAACTGTTTCTATTTCTAACGCCAGGAAAGCCTGTGCAGCTGAGCGCAGCGTGTCCTCGGGCCAGCAGAGAAAGCCCAGCGTGTGGCCCGTGACTCCGGCACGAAGGATGGCTGTGCTGCCTTCACGCAGCGCTTTCCAAGGACAAAGAAAACCGCTCCTCCTCCGCGCCTCGGGTGCGTATTGTTTATCCGAGAAAAATAACGTTGCAAAAAGAAAGCAGCTTCCGCCCGGCCGGCGGCTCAGGGGCTGAGCGTGGACCTCTGAACCAGGAGGTCACAGTTCAATTCCCGGTCAGGGCACAGGCCCGGGTTGTGGGCTCAGTCCCCAGTGGGGGGCCTGCAGAAGGCAGCTGGTCAGTGATTCTCTCTCATCATTGATGTTTCTATCTCCCTCTCCCTCTCCCTTCCTCTCTGAAATCAATAAAAATCTCTTTAAAAAGAAGAAAGAAGGAAAGGAAGGAAGGAAGGAAGGAAGGAAGGAAGGAAG